ATATACGCCCCATAGAGAGTGTGATGATCAGTTTTTCTTCACAAAGGAGTGAAAGCAAAGAAAGTGCTGTTTGGACGTAGTGCAGTAAAGATAACCATCCCTTTGTTCAGGTGGGCAGTTTCAGTTTAAACTTTTTATCTACGATGCTCTGGAGGTTGAAGCTCAGCTGTTCTTCTGTTTGTGATGAAGACTTTAAAATCTCATATTTGCGGTGACGTGACTTTCCCCTTAACATTCAGAAACCAAAACTTTAAAAAAGATGTTTAATTTCATTCAACTGAAATTTTACAAAACAGCCAAATAAATAAACTTTTTATAAATTATCTGGAAAAATCAGTTTAGGGGAGATAAAAGTGCTGAACTTTTTCAGAGTTTGCATAATTGCTAAAGACCTAAATGCAAAATTAGCTCTGACAGAAGTTAGCCTACTCAAAGCTTTGGTCATTATAGCTGAATGGATTCTGTCAGTTGCCCAACCAGCTCAGAGGCGCCACCTGTTGAATTAGTTTGAAACTGCAACCAGTTCATATAATTGTTAGTGAAAAATCCTGATGAACTGAGGAAGTTCCTGTTGGTGTGTAGAGATGAAGGAAGAGACGATTTCACTCTGAATCCTGAACTTCATTTCAGATTTTTTTCCCCTTCAGGTCTTCATTTTTTAGCCAGTGTGACAATGTGGAAGGTAACACTCTACATGCTAATAAATATCTCCTCTCGCTCAGATGTCACCAGCTACATACTCGCTGTGTGACTGAGGTGACAAGCATCTAAACAGAGCGTGATGGGCGTCTCGACGCCCTGCAGGGACGACGCTCTGACACTTTCCTCTGACATCTGACACATCAGCTTCACGCAGCGCTGACACTCCTGCTCTGCTTCCCCTCTGACATGCACACACTCCTCGCTCCGCGCATGCAGAAAGGCTTCCCGCGGGCTCGCACTTGAGCATGTTCACTCATGCTTGAAGTCTAGATCCACATACGTGTGGGATTTATTTAGTCCACATTTGCATATGCTGTGCTCAGATGAACACGCATGGATCTGCAGGCAGGCGCAGATTCCTGCAGACAGACAGTCGGAGGCTGCTGTGTGTGAAAGAGGCTCCCTGTCCATCTGCCCGTGTTTGAACCTGTCTCACTGAGGAGTTCTTCTGGTGTAAAGCTACGCAAGCATGAATAATTCGGTGGTTAATACACACATTCCTTAACCACTGAAGCCCCCGGTGTTTTATTTAGACTTTCAGTCTCAGTCAGGGAGAGCTTTACTCTGAACGAACAACCTCTGACTGTGTGGATAAAACAAAACCTGGAGGAGACAGTCACAAATCTAAAACTCTGGGAAAAACTCAGCTTTAGAATCTCAGATTATGTTTCATTACAACTCTGAAAAAATAAATAATTACATCACCAATAAACAGTCAGAGCCTCCAGAGAAAACTATAAAATGTTTTATTACAGTCAGAGGAATTATTTCATTCAGTTTTAATTAGAGATGCTAAATTTGATCTGTTACTTCTGTGCAATGTCAGACTGACTGAGGACTGTTGTGACTTTTTTTACACTTATGTTGTTCAGTATATTTGCATGATAAGTGACTGATTTATAATTATATGTTAAGCATAATTTACATGATGATTATTATTATTAATTGTATTGAACATGATTGTATATAATTACAAAGGTGAAGTGGAATATATTTAAAGTGTGAGACATGATTTGTTTGAATAGAGGAAGTCTTTTATTTTGAAGAATGCTTAAGGATCTGTTACTGTTTTGTCACTATCTTGCTTTGTTGACTTTTGATTGCTATTGGTTACGAACAGCTGTTGCCCGTTATTCAGCTGACGCCGTTTTTTTTCCTCTTCAATAAATACTGAACAGAAAGGTTCAGTAAAAGAAATACGAGCCTCCGTCTTGTTTGAGAAGAAGCTTTACTCCATAACAAGGACTGGTTGGATGCAGTATTTGTTGGGATTTTCCATTTCGTGTCGGTAATTCAGCTTTCATTCCCAGCAGCCATCGTCAGACTGCTGTAATCCAACTCCGGTCCGTTTGGCCAGAAAGTCTGTTCAAACGGTCTAGTTTGGATAAAACTGAACTCTGGTTCGGTTTGAGTGCATATGTGAACAACAAGTGGACTGGAGGCCGCTCCAAAAGCAGGAAGTGGACTGCAGCACAGGGCATTCTGGGTAAAAACAACCAAAACAAAAACTAGCGTTGCGTTAGCAGGAGAAATGTCTCGTAGTTTTTAGCCAAAGACAAAGGAGAAATCCACCAAGCGCTAAAATCTGATGCTGCTCCAATTTAGTTTTTGTTTTTTGTTTCTTTAGAGGGTTTTATTTATGTCATTTTCTTCAGACATTCTTGGTACAGCGCCCCCACAGGCGAGGAGGGGAACAGGCTCCTGAAACGTTTTGCTTGGTTTGACTCAGTGCAGTGGAAAGAAAACCACAGCAGCTGGAAATGGATTGAATGCTGCAACTTTGATCCTCAATCAAACCGAGTTCACTGGACTGCCAGGTGTGAAAACATCCTAAAACTCAAGACTCGACTTAAACTCGAGTCTCAAAAGCAGTTTATCTTCTGACTGGAGGTGAATGAGGCTCATGTTGTGTGAATGTTTGATTTAAACCGGAGTTTCATCAGGTCATGTTGTCTGCAGTTACATGATTATGACCACAGACTCCATAACTGAATTATGATTTAATACTAAGTAAAGTATATTTGATATATCTCCTTATTAGATAACTCCATTACACCAAAGCCTTTATTTTGGAACGGTGACTTTAGGTTACATTTATTGTTTAGGGCTAAGAATAAAGCTTCTGAACAGAGAAACCTGTAGATCTGTAGTGAGGTTCTGCCTGCAGTCACACAGTAAGCAACATGAGCAGAGAGATTAATGTGTTCATAAAAGTCATTACCATGACAGCTAATAAAACTCCTGGAGATTGGAGCTGCACGCAGAGAAACGAGAACATTCAGTGGAAATAGAAACGATTTGAGACTTTTTAAAATAAAAACACTAAAACAAAGTTTGTTGTTGTTCTACAATCACCAGGAAGCTTTGGGGACATAATTATGGATCATTGACACATTTAGTGGATCACTGTTTTAGTTTCCAGATACTGAATGAAGCAGTTTGTTTTTGACAGTGTTTGCTGCAGTGGCTTTGCTGCAGTGCTGTAGTCTCAGTACTCTGGGTGGGGGTTGGACAGAAAAGGCCCCGTTGCTCACAAACAGTAAATACAGCAGAGGCAGAGTCTGGGTCTGAAAAACAAAACGCTCAGTTTGACCGAGTCCCAGCAGGAAGCCAGAAACCAGGAGGGTTTACTGGTGCTAGCTGTCCAGGCTAGCTGCTGTTAGCCGTTACAGGTCAGTGCCACTTTGGTCATCATGCACTGGAGGGAGAAGTTCAGATCTGATGGACATAAACGGGAACGTAAATCTCCATCCAGCTTTCTTTGAACTCTTCCACCGTTTGTTTTTATCCAGAAACCATTTAGAAACCAATTAACCAATCAGTCAATCATCAGTCATGGTTTTGGACTGCAGGAGGAACCTGCAGAGGACTCACCCTGTGACCATGCAGAAAGATCCCGGGCCAGGACTCGAACCCGGGACCTTCCTGCTCCCAGGCAGCCGTCTGAGGCTCCAACTCATTTCCCAACTAGGAGCAAAGGAAATCTGAGTCACAAAGGGAATTTCTCCTCAAAGAAAAGCTTTTCCTTGTAACAGATTCCCAACATGGAGCCTCCAGGACGCAGGTCATCGTAGAGTTGGCATTTATCTCTGCGGCGCCGGCCCGGTCCCTGTATCTGTTAACACTCTGTGCTGCATGCTGCAGCTCGTAACGTCGCAGGAGCTGCGTGTGTGACCTTCGTGTTCAGACCAGACACTGAATCTGTAGCAAAGGTTGTGTAACTGCCAGAGCCAGACAGAGTGAAATGGTCTGCTGTTCCAGAGCACCTTTTAACCTTGGCCTTGTTGTAAAGGTTTTTACTCACTCACCTGTACACACACACACACACACACACACACACACACGAAGCCATGGAGTCAGAGCTGCCGTGAAAAGTGTTCGTCATCTGGAGCTACTTGGGGTCCAAACAAACTGCCGCTGTGAGGAAGTGAAGGTTCTGCTATTCCCAGCTGCTGTTCCTGCATCTTAAATGAGGCAAAATGTGGAGATTGTGTCGATGTTTTCAGGAAGGTCACAGAGAAAAGAAACAGATATGAAAACATCAACATGCTGGATGGAATCTGCTAAACATTTAATTCCTGCTTGTGTTTTTTAATGCATGTTGCTGGTCATCCGTCCGTCTGACAGCGGAGGCTCACTGCAGCAAATCTGCAACAGAATGGCTGAGAAGGAAATGAATCAAGTTGTTGCTTTGGTCTAATCAAAGCCCAGACCTCAGCCTGACGGAAACGGTGTGGTGGGAAGCAGAAGTGACTGAGATCTGTCTGGTCTGATGTGATGTCTGCTGGTTCGTGGTGTGCAGCCGAACTGGAGACGCTTCCAGCAGCAAATCTGTGATCTTCTGTTTGATTCGAATGAATTCAGGAGGAAAACAGAGACTGAAAGTAAAATCTGTTTCCTCCTGCACCAAACTCCCATGGCAGTTTGGAGGGAAGCTACCTCATTTATCAGCAACCGTAGTATTAGATCTAATAGTCAAATTTATTTAAATGTCCCACTGTGCACTTACAGTCTGTTCTTTTATGCAGTGTGATTTTAAAATAAGCTGCAGACACGACAGAACAGCTTTAAATGTTTTACCAACAACCCTGAAGCCGACTTGTTTCTGTTTCCATCAGTTTTTACAGAAATCAGGAAGTTTTTACAGATTTTATTGTTTGTAAAAGTGGAACTGAATTATTTTAGCGCAGCAGGATCATTTATCAGCACTGACTGATTACAGGCTGGCGGAGCCTTTCTGTCATCTGAAACTCACCGTCGTCTCAGACCTTTGAAGGCTCCTGTGCTTTCCTATTCAGGCGGGAAGCCTCCGGCGGACCGGACCGTGGTTCTGGAGGAGTACCGCCTCTTGTCTCAGAAGCTGTTTGCGTCGGTGTCCGTCTTCGCCGGCCTCGGCATCCTGCTCGGCATCGTCTGCCTGACCTTCAACATCTACAACGGCAACGTGCGGTGAGTCCACAAACAGCAACACGTCCGTCCTGATAAAGCTGAAATATTCATTGGAACGACATTTCTTCTCTCCTCTTATCATTTTTATTTAATGTTCTGTTTGTACCGCCAACGGGTTCGCAGGAAGTCCAGATGAGTTTTCCCTCATAGACTTATGAAAGTTAAAAATGCATTTGAAGGATATGAGGCTGATTTAAAACTAAACAATGTTTTTGCTCTGCTTTAGTTTTCTAATAAAAACTAAAAGTTTCATCATCTCTGGTGAAATTTGGTTTTGTTGAAGATGGATGCTGAATGTTGGACCAAAACCAAACATTAACGTCTCATTTAATCACCAGAAATCGAATGTTAATTTATAAATGACGCACATGGATGCATTGAAAATGATAGATTATAGTTTATTAGTAAATAAAAACATCCTGGACGGAGGAACTGGTCACCAATCTGCCTTCAGGTCTGGAAAATCTCATGTTTCCTGCAGCAAAACTTTCCATGAAGTCATTAAAAAATAATCAAATTAAACTGACTCAGTCAAAATCTTAAAACATTGGTGAAAAATAAAGTTTCCTTAAAAATGTAATGAATTTAGTTTTTATCTCTGCACTTAGTTTTTAACAAAGTTTATCTGATGCAAAACGAGCCCACACCATCATCCCGCCTCCACCTTGCTGCACCATTGATGTGAAGCGTTTCTGTTTTCCTCCACACATGCAGACGGGGGTAGAGTATCAGACTGACAGAGAAGAACATTAGAATAATGAAGACTGTGCACTAACCAGGAATCTGTCCGTTTGGCTACATCATGTTGTAACTGGAGTTTGTTCATGTAGCGTCACTCCAGGATAACAGCCCAGAGGTGAAAGTAGGAGCGGTGAGGATGACTGCTGATGGCTCCAACACACCTGGATCCTCCTAACCATTCCCAGCATTCCCTCTTTAAGTGTCAATAATCATTTTTTGGATGTGAATCAGAACAAGAATAAATGTTTCCTCCTTTGAAGTCGGGCGGAGAGATTTCTCTGGTGTTGCTGCAGGTTTTGTTGTGGCAGCTTAAGCTCAGCCCAGGACCAAATGCAAATAGAGGTGCTTTAAAATAAATATCTTTTGAACTGGGATTTGCAACCTTATTACACGTCTGAGCAGACGGGCTTTTTTAAGGTGGTATTTGTATGTTTAACTGAGGTCAAAGTGATTGTAAGTCCCTTTAGTCCGGAGCTTACCGCAGCCTTTGGTGGAGCTGGAGAGGTTCATTCCTCAGGGACTCTGCGCCTGGCTCCTGCTGCCGTTCAGACCCTCTTCCAGCTTTGATTACATTTCAAACGCAATTTCACCCAGCGCTGCTCTCATCTGCCAAAACAGTGCGAGTCAGATCAAACAAAATATATTCACTAAGCTGTTTTCTGAGGCAACTTTGTCTCGTTAGAGGGCAGAAACAGAATCGATCAGTTTTAGCCTGACCTGCAGCTCCACAGCAAAGTTCAGGAAACGTTTTGATGCTCCGGTGATTCACAGCTGGACTAGAGCTGGTCCGGAAAACAGATGCTCTGTCTTGGTTCTGCCCGGATTCTCGGATCCCAACGGACCCAAACGAACCTGAACGAACCTGAACAGACCTGAACAGACCTGAGCGGACCCCAACGGACCTGAACGGACCCCAACGGACCTGAACGGACCCCAACGGACCTGAACGGACCCCAACGGACCCCAACGGACCCCAACGGACCCGAACAGACCTGAACGGACCCCAACGGACCCAAACGGACCTGAACAGCCCTGAACGGACCCCAATGGACCTGAACAGACCTGAACGGACCCCAACGGACCCAAACGAACCTGAACGGACCTGAACAGACCTGAGCGGACCCCAACGGACCCGAACAGACCTGAACGGACCCCAACGGACCTGTCAGGCTGGTTCTGAATCTCCTCATGAAGGACAAATGCCTTGGTCTCATGGTCTCTTCTTTAAGGAGAAGCTAGAATAAGTAATAAAATAGTGAATAAAGTAAAACAAAACACAACAGTTACAAAAACATAATCAAATAGAAGCTCTGCATCTGTTTGTTCTACTTCTATAAATAAATTACAGTTCTTCTTCTTCTACTTATTTTTCCCTCCGTGTTTTTGGGGTCTGAATATTTCAGTTGATCTAAAAACGCTTAAACTTCCTATTCTAACAGTTCAAACACCAAATACAGTTTAATATGATATAATTCACAAAAACTACATTTTCTATCTTTCTAAAAAGCTCATTTCCTCACATGTTGAGTTTTAAATCCTTTAACATAAATTCAGTCAGCTGTTAATCCATATTAAACTTACCTTTCATTAAGTTTCTGTATTAAAATGTTTATTTAATTGGTCTGATGTAATCTAACATAAATGACATTTTAAACGGCTGTAAGCAGAAAATCATGATTAGCAGGAATAAGGATTTTAAAACAGTGAGTGGAATTAATCCATTTAATGTGTCTGTGGAGTGAAAATCACTGAATATGACTGGAAGGCAAATTTAAACTGAAATGTTTAATTTTAATTAAAATAAATGTGAAAAGTTTGTCCACATTTCGAAGAATTTCTGTTTTCTGAAACAAACAGCTGCAGTTCAGTCAGTCAGAGCAGAAGAGACCAAATGAACTGAAATATTCATCTGAAAAGAGGATTGGCTCCTGAAAAACATTTTTCTTTCTAATTTTCTGAAGACAAGCAGAAAAAGAGGAGCAGTCTTTGTTTTCTTTGCCTCTGGTTCTGGAGTGGCGACATCAGGGATGGGGCTGAAACCCCAGCCACCTTTTAGATCACACTTTTTCCTTCCACTCAACTTTCCATTAACACATATCAGTGTGCTTTGGGTCTGCTGTTGAACATTTAATAATCTTCACTCTGAATATTCAGGGCAGAGTCGAGCATTTCTCTGAATTATTATCTGTAAGCCGTGATGATCAAAATGAACAGAAGCAAAAGCTTGAAATAAATCGCTCCTGTAATTCATCCGTCCGATACGAGACTCACTGTTCGATTCAGCTGACTGCTGCTATTTTGATTTTATCCTGTATTGACTTTTAGTTTATCTATATTTAACCACAATCTGTCAGAATAAACATAAAGGCTGCGTTTATTTTCAATAAGAAATGAAAACATCATGATCATGTTGCAGAGTGTCGCTGTAGGAAATGAGTCTCCCAGCATGTTGACCTTCTCAGGTCAGAGGAAAAATCAGCTGCAATTATTTCATGATTTACAGGAAAATGGCAAAACAAACAGAATTTGACCTTTACATGTTTATGGGTGACAGATTTTAACTGGAGTTTATTTTAACACATTTAAACCGTCTGAACCTGCAGAACTGAATCCAGTTTGCTCCGACAAAATGTAATCATTTTCCTGGATGAATTATAATTAAAGATGCAGGACAGTCGGCTGCAGCGAAGAGGATTAGGTGATCAGAAAACTGACAGCATTTAAAGTTTTAGACATATTAAAAGGTTGGATTAAGGTCAGCGTTCATTAGTAAATGTGTTTATATGCTAATGTGTGTAAATAAGCGGCAGGGCGACATGAGGGAAGGTCAGCGGAGGAAAGATTAGGAGTCCGACTCTGAGCTGCAGGATGAGCTGCAGAGTAAATCCTCTGAAGGCTGGAGAAGTTTGATTCAACTCCAACACACCTGGTCACCTGGCGCTCTGCTGTTAACTCATGTTGGTTTAATTAGGATGGAAGCTTCTCTGACCATCAGGTGGAGCCAAAGCTGGTTTTAGAGGCAGAGAGGAGAACATAGAAACACAGCCGATGGTTTCTGAGGATAAAAGCAGCCTATATATGTATAAAGATGGCGTCTGTGAAATGGAGGGATGAACCTCTGAACGCTGTGATTTATTTGTCTGGATGAAGAATTTCTCCCTCTAAGGAGATTTTATAAAACAGTCACAGACTGTACGGCAGTTTGGGATTAGCTCTGTGCTTTTGGGACTAGAGGTTTCTGTAAGGAACATTTCTTTTTTATGATTTTTAATTTTGCAAACTCCCAGCTGTAATGGCACACACACCTCCAAATTGCTCCCAAATCTGTCAGTACAGCGTTGAGCTTCTTGTTAAGGCGATGCGTCTGAAGAACGGCCATTTTTACTGCAGATTATGTGGATTACAAAGTGTCGGCCTGTAATTTCATAAAAACATCAGATCAAACATCATCAGCTGTGAGACGTCTTCTCCATCATCTGGCTTTTATTCATAATCTGAGGCATTTGAGGGAGATGACGGTAAATGAATCTGTTTTCATTTCATGTTTCTGTAAATGACTAACTGCTCTCCTTGTTGGTTTATTTTATAAAACGATGATTTTATTCATATTTAAATTCATGAACCTTTAGTTGTGAGCAGTTTGCCTGTGATCAGCCGTTCTGCAGTGAAAGCAACACATTTCTACTAATTCACAGTTAATTAGGAAAAATAATGTTTTCTGCATCTCTGGGGTGTCTGCAGAGAACGCAACACATTTTCCTTTCTTTCTGGAAAAATAGTTTTTCACCTGAAACTGTCCTGTTGCACAGACGACAACACGTCGCTTTCTGTCAACACTAATTAGCCTCGTGCCTGGAAATCACACTTCAGAGGAGAAACCCTGGAGTCTTTCCATTTTCAGCCCCTTTTCTCAGAGTGACAAAAGACGAAAGCAGAAAAACACGCAAACGGTTAACAAAAATCAGAACATTTCATCCGACTTGTTTCCTTTCATATCCTTTCTAATTTCACCTTCCAGCAGAAAGCAGTGTTGTTGTCTTGGTGTGTGTGTGTGTGTGTGACTGTGTTTGCTGTGAATCTGTTGCAGCTACATCCAGAACTCTCAGCCCTACCTGAACAACATGACAGCAGTGGGCTGCATGATGGCGCTGGCTGCAGTGTTCCCGCTGGGGATTGATCGGCACCACGTCAACAGACCGCAGTTCCCCGTCGTCTGCCAGGTAACGGGAGGAGGGGGGCTGTTACCGGGGAGACGGGGGTGGGGGGCGGCAGAGGGCAGGATGGAGAGGAGAGGGCTTTACAGCCATCTGTTCCCACATACATCCATCTCTCTCCTCTCTGTCTCAACAAGTGGATTTCTAATCACCTGATAAGATGTTACCAAGGTAACGAAGAGCCTAACTGCATTCCCCTGACATTGTTTCCTCCATTTGCTCAGAAGTTGCAACAAATACTCAAGATGTGGCAGCAGGTGGTGATACTGTTGTCACTTTTCTGAATCTGAACCAGAGAGACGGTGTCAGGTTTCCAGGTTTTCACGTTAGCATAGTCAAAGTCTAAAGAAGGAACTGAACCAACCATCTCCCAACTTCTAGGACTGTTTTTGATTTGTTAGGTTCAAATTCAAAAGTACATAATTTATCCTAAAAGTAAATTAAATGTTGTAACTTGAATAAGGTGACGCTGTGGGCAGGACGGATCTTTAGCAGCAGTTAGCTTTGTGAGGCTGATGTCAGGCTCATGCTAACATGCTAACAGCTCAGTTTCCAGGAAGTAGAGACGATATTCCACACGTCCTGAATGACACCACTAGATGCTCTGCTGGCCCACCTCAGTTGCTTTTGCTTCCTCTCTGTAAATCTCCGCCTGGTTTAATGGTTAGAAAGATGTTGGAGAGTTTGAACTGCCGCGTCGTCTAATCTCTGCTCTGGGGTCATTCCTAACAAACATCTGAATGTCTTTCTGTTGTCAAGAAAGACAAGATAATGACTGAGACTGGTGTAGAAAACTCAGAGTTCACCTCTTCTCCGGTCCTGAACCGGTCCTGAACTGGTCCTGAACCGGACCTCACCTGAACCGGACCTGAACCAGACCTGAACCGGTCCATACCAGCCAGTTGAAGAACTGTTGGACTCACGCCGTGGCAGACAGAAGATCACTGTTTGCATTTCTGTCTTCCCTGTGGAGGAAGGTGATGCCTTGAAACCCAACCCGACCAAGTCCCCTGGAAAAGACAGGGGTTACCATGGCAACCAGTCAGTCGTCCTTTTCCATCTCTGATCCTTTCACTAGACAGCAGGCTTCTCTTTCTGATATAAATCCTTCTTCAGGTCGGTTCCGGCACACTTCTTAGTTCTGCCCTTCTGCTTTCAGAACCGTCTTCGTTCTGCCGAGCGTAGATCCGACTCGGAGACATTCCTCTGTTTTCATGCAGATTTGATTGTTGCACATTCATGATGTCAGTCTGTCCTTCCACCAGACCCTGAATGTTTTCTACTGATGAAGACGTGGTGACTGTGGTGGACACGCTTCTGCTAACCCACAGAGCTAACTTTTCTGTTTAGTTTGTTTGCTAAGTTTGAAATCGTTTAGCCCACTTAGTTTCCCCTAAATTCATTCTTTCTCCATAGATTCCAATTTGTTTGGCTGTTTTGCAGACTTTTACATTCATGCTTCATTATTAGTGTTTTAGGGTTAGCGCAGCCAGCTTTCTAGTCAGCGGTTCCCACCGCTGGTGAACAGTGGAGCCAGAAACCAGATTAAGGTGATTTGAACTCTGACCTGATGCATCGTCCAGCTGGAGCCCAGCAGGATGGATCCACACTCAATGTTTTTACACTGAATTCTGACCCGTCCGCCTGAAATTTGCAGCTAGAATTGAGGCTAATCAAAGCAGGCAACATTTTTCTCTAACCTCTTATTGTCCAGGCTTGTTGAGCCAGTGTGAGCCGTTGCCCCAGTTTTCGTTCCCAGCTGACAGGAGCGGCACCCGGTGGGTCCTCTGTCTTTGTAGGCCATCTGCTTCAAGGTTCCTCCCCAGCAGAGACCGAATCTGCAGCTCTGGGTTTGATGAGTGGTTGTTAGAGGTGCTGTTGCCTCTTTATCATCTGAACTCAGCCTGATCATTCTGCTCCAGCTCCTGAAATCAGGAGCAGCTGCTGCTCACTGGAAGCTCTCTGTTTTTCTCACCTTTCGCTGTTAGCCTGAAACGGTTCAGTGAAAATCCCCTTTTCTGAATCACCGTCACCTAAAGGAAGTAATAATGAAGTTTTTATGTTTTTAGGACACGTGTGTTATGATTCTTTTTAAACGTGAGAGGCAGAAAATGAGCATGACTGAAACTTATCCGGCTCTAAGCAACATGATCCTGGTTCAGCACAGTTTTAGTTCTGCTCATTCACTTCAGGTTAGCAACAGACCAACATTTCCATCTTAAACCGTTTTTCTAGTCTTTCTTAAAGGACATACATCTTACTTTGTGTTTACCTGCTTCGTCTCTGTCTCACTGGAACAGCCAAAGAGGATCATTTAGCAAGAAGAGGATCCATTTTATCACACAGATAAGCATTAACTTATCTGTTAAAGCCTAAGAAGAAACAAACTCCTTGATTGGATGCAGAAAATCAGGTGACCCAGATAGCTGAGTGACCAGAGCTCCACTGGAACGTCTCACATTGCAGCAGCATTAAGTATTAGAGAAATACTGTCTTTGATTTGACTATATTGCAAGGAAATTGCAAAACCAGCCAAGTCAACACAGTTATGGTACTAACAATTCCTTTAAAGCTGTTCTTCATTTGCTTTGCTACACATTTAATCCATAATGTGTTATTTTCTAAAGACCAGGCTGCTAACCTGGAGGATAGTTCCAGTTTATCATGTTTGCTCTCTGGGAGGTAAAACGGCTCCTAATGTCATCGTTACAGAACTGCAGCATAAACTAAACATTGTTTTTATCCTTCTGTTAATGACCAAAAAAAAACTTCAACCTGAAACTGAAATTTAACTGGTGAAAATTAGCCTCTGCTTTTGAATTGTGGTTCAGTATGTAAAAATAAATTAATGAGGCAGACCTGGTTAAAAATAATGGTGCCTCTATGAAAGGTTAGCGTTAGCATGAACCAGTTAGCACTGCAGTCATTAGATATCAGGTCCTGCTTTGTTTCGGTTCTGTTTTGTAAAAAAGTTGCTGTTCAGTCAGTAAAACAATTTAATCATCCGTTTTACTTTGACAGCGCGCCGTGTGAGGGACATTATGCTGTTTCATTATTGAGGTCATGAAGAGTTGAAACCAACCTTCCTGAAATATGCTCATTGATATTTGGTCTTGTCTTGTTTTAATTATGTCAGCGGTTTGAAATATCACCGTTCCCCGTAGTGACTGACAGTGCCACATGTATATTTTATTACCTTTGAGCCTTTAATTTAAGCCCAGTGTTTATTCTGATATGAATATATAAATGTTAAATGTGTTTTTGCACCATTTTCTTCTCCGTTATCCTAAATCTGGTGTATGTGGTAATTTTTTTTGCCTGCTGTAAGCCAGTTGTTACCATTTCATTGGAAGAATTTTGCATTTTTCAGTAACAACTATTAGTTTTGATTAAAACTGCAGCGTTCAGTCTGCAGCAGACAGAAACCTGCCGACCTGTGAGGAGTTTTCTTTGTGATTCTGAGCATGTACACATGAAACGTAGCAAAAGTTTAGAGTTTGTTTCCTTTTTGAAAGTATTTTGGTTCTGGGCGCAGAAGCCGTGACTTCCTGTCTGCCAGAAAAGCTCGGCGCCGGGAACCCAGCTCTAATGAGGAGTGGGAGTGTGTCTGTGTCACCCATGTTGAGCCTTTGTGTTGCGGAGGCGAAAAGGGAGATTTCCATTTCTGTGGTTTCATGGCTCTTTGTCCCTGTCCAGTTATTCTCTCATGTTTTGTTCCGACTCTCACCTTTGACCCTGGATCTCCTCTTCCTCTCGTCTCCTCAACGTTTCGCCTCCTGCTGCCACTCAGCTCCTCTGCCTGTCTGTATCAGGCTTGATGACCTGGACTATTTATCAAAATGATCATGTAAACGGGTGCACATAAAATCCCCTGATTAGACGTAACCAAGGCAACTAAGACTCAACAGTCACTTCCTTCGTTAAACCTGTCTGAAACAGACATTGCAACAAAATCAAAATGTTTCCTCTGCATGGACATCATTCTCTGCAGCTCCACATGACAGAACATGGCGGACAAGCAGAATCTCCTCTTGATGGCGTTTTCCAAAGACTCTCTCCTTCATAATTCAGACCATAAAGACGACTTTGCTCACAGATGTTGACCATGTTACAACTGTGACTTTACTTCTAAGTTTGTTGTGGCCTAAAGTCTAGCAGAATATGAGCAAAGCAGGTTATAAATGCTGCTAAAAGGGTTTTGAGCAGATTCCACATGTCTGTTTTCTGTGTGGAATATAAATGCATCAAATTTAAACCAGGCTTAAAGGTTCCCACAAACCGGATTTAAACCCAGTCCAAATTCAAAGCGGATGTTCGTTGGACACGTCTGTGAAAAGTGTAATTCTTTGGCCGTGTTCGTGTTCTCGGCGTCGCTCAGTAAACTGGTCTAGCTCAGTTTTGCTTTATTTCATATTTACTAATATATTTGCACCAGAAACCAGACAGAAATATTTTGTAATATTTTGTGTTTTTTCAGTGCATCAGCTGCCCAGGTCTTGATGTTTTGTTTCTGAATGTTTGGCTTGTCAGTTTTCAGATTAACTAACTCAGACTAGTAATGTTTGACTAGTTTAGAGGTAAACAGCAGGTTAGCTAGAGGTTTGTCAGCCTTTGGTGTGAGGCAGTCAGTGAGTTAAAATGAGCCAAGAAAAGCTCAGCATATGTAAGAACTCCTTCCAACACGCTGGAAAAGGTCCAGACGACGCCCTCAGGAAGTGGAGAATGAAGAGCTGCTTTCAAAGCAAAGAGAAGCATCCAAGAAATCAGAAACATGATTTTCAGCTTACGTTTGGTTTTCTTCACACATTCAAATATCTTCCTAACGCTGGTCAGTACCTTCCTGCAACGAAAACTAAATAATTCATAAATTATTCAGCGTTTTCTGCCACTATGTTCCCATTTACTAAATCTCAGCTGCATCTATAAATGAGAAATATTTAAAATAAAAACAAGGTTTTTATGTTTCTCCTGCAGTTCCGCCTGTGGCTGCTCGGCCTCGGCTTCAGCCTGGCTTATGGCAGCATGTTCACCAAGATCTGGTGGGTCCACACCCTGTTCACCAAGAAGGACGAGAAGAAGGAGAAGAAGAAGGTATGGATGAGCCTGCAGCCTGCTGCACCGACGTGGTTCCACTTATCACTGCAGCTATGCTAGTCTCCTGTCTATTGTTGCTAATCTTCAGCAACAAGTTGCTGACCAGCTGGTAAATTTAGCATCTCATTAGAAAAATATTTAATTCTAAACTTTAAATTTTACAATGAAATGTTGGAGTTGAAACACAAAAAAAGTGAAATTCCAGTTTGGAAAACCTGAAGGATTAACGGTCCATCACCTCCAGACACCTATGCTAATGCGCTAATAGGGGAGCTAACTTTTTGTTTAGCACTTTTGCTAACTTTGAAAACGTTTAGCCCATTTAAATACAGTT